ACTCTATACAAGTGTGCATGAGCTGGTTCTGATCGTTGGTGCTTTGTCAACTTTTTATAGTTATTATAGACATGTATGAGAAATTATTATGAACTCATAAGTTCATAGTGTGATATCTTAAACATGAAGAGGTTTTGTAAAAACACAATAAACTTTAGGGAACTTTAACGAAAAGCACTTGGTACTGTTCACTTTAACGAAAAACCACATTTTTACACTAAAAAGTCAATCCTGATACTATTCACTTTACCTTTTATTTTGTCCTTATCATTAAAACTCAAAGTTTTCAAGCCATTTTCATTAGTTTTCCTTAAATTTTATGGGGTTTGGTTTAACTAATTGTATAAAAAGTTAACACTACTATAGTAGTGTCAAGGTCAGTCACATATGCGCACAAGTTGGTTTAATAGTTGGAATTAACTAACTAGTATTATGGTCTATTGATAATTATCTTCACTTGTAAGTAAAAGGTCTCAAGTTCGATTCACATGAATAATGGTGCATATTGTATTTATGTTGAATTTGATATCAAGTTGTGCGGCCTAACCCAACCCCCATCTTTTTAGAGCAAGTCCACCCGTTTTAGGAGTGCAAGGGCAAGGGCAGTAAAATTCCTCTGAACAGTAATTGTGTTTGGGCAAGTCCACCCGTTTGAGAAGAGGAAGGGCAAGGGCAAGGGTGGCTACTATTTACAAATATATGTATATATATTTTTTTTTGTTATGCCTTGTAAGTGTATACTTACTACTTAGTAAGTTTTTTTCTTTGAAAATAAAACTCCCAATTTAACATTGATAATTTAATTTTAAATACAAAGTATAGCATTACAAACAAGCATAATTAATTAAAAAAATGAAAGGCGAATGAAGGAAATGGTTGATCTTTGTAAGTTTGTAAAGTGTGTTGTTAAAAAAAATGAAATTTTTTGGTATTTTGTTGGATTGTTTTACCTTTGGATTAATCTTGATTGTTGATTTCTATTTTTTTTATTTTTTTTAATTCAAATGCGTCAGATTGTGTCACGTGACACAAATCTATAATTTCCAAAACAAAAAAAAATATCTTTCGAAATCAAACGATCAAGATGTGAAAACTGTTGGAAATCCAACAGTGGAGAAAGGCAGCTATAAAGAACCATTGGGCTCTGTAGTGAAACACTTGGTGGGCCCTATGTCTGCTCTTTGATGTGATGATGACGTCGCTTCTTGCCAACAGGCCCAAGGCCTTGCATGCGTTGGCTAGGCAACTCAATAAGCTTAGTGGAGCCCAGCAATAGCCCTTCATTTTTTTGGGCCGTTGGACGTGGGTTTTGGAGGTTGGAGGCAATGCAACCCAATTCTCTACGCTTTTAGGTCACTACTGGAGCTGCTCTTAGAGTATAATATCCCCCTTCCTTTTTGTAATAGAATATCATTAAAATTAGGAATAAGATACATAAGTGAGTGGGTTGATCATAACATTCTTCTGGTATTAAGTTGATGATGTGTTTTACACCAACTTTTAAGTTTGAGACTTGAAAATATGCACAGAAAACCCCTTCACATAGGATATATTTGGTGAAGCTTATAGCCAACATATTTGACTTATGAATAATACTGATTAGGACTGGCTAATATGTTAATTTATCAAAGAGAATATGATAAGTACATGGTACCCTTAATATGATTGAGGTATGTGATATCGACACCCTAGTCGGTATCAGCCAACATAATTAAATTGAAATTTGGCACTTGCTTGTTCTAATCCATTAATCCCATTAAAATAATTAAAATAATTAAAATAATCAGGATAATCATGCCTATCATGATTATTTAAACTGCACAGCATACTTATTAGTCTTAATGTCACAATTACATAAATAATTATACCAACATGACAACACCATCAACTTACACAATACTTAAATAGTTTCAGGGAGATATAATTTTGTTTTCTTTTGATCATCAGAAAGTGAATATTTGAACGTCATAGACTTACGTGTACTCAATCACTCAACCTATAAACTTAAAGTACTGTTTTAAAACCGGAAAACAAGTCTACCATTTAACTTTTTGCCTGCTCTTGTAGAAATGTTTGGGATACCATAATAATTAAAGAAAAAGAAGACGAAAGGACTCAAAAATTATGGTTTCTTCACATGCGTTCAACTAATCATCTCTAGCTTTTTTTAACTTGTGTTATTTTCACATGCGTTCAACTAATCATCTCTAGCTTTTTTTAACTTGTGTTATTTTCCAGGCAACATGTGGTGCAGGACTACAGAAATACACAACACAGAGGCAAAAGGGATGTGAAAGCTTTATATGCAGAAAGCAGAAAAAGTTTGGCCCACTTTTGATAAGATCACAACAACAACTATATCATATCTATCTGTATATCTTGCACTCAACCTGATCAACCTTTGTTATTTACTGCATTACATATGTAAATATACATATATATATATGGATGGCGGCTGACTTTGATGTTTTTTGGCCTTGTTAGCTATTTGCATGGCTCATGTTTTGTAGCATCAAGTAATTGAGTGGCAGTCTAGGGCAACCTTATCAGGATGGTACTGGCTGAAACTGAAACATGACTGGTTTCAGGGTTTTAATCTGAGCTAGCTGCAAGGACCCGACAGATCGATAAATTCCAATTGTAATGCATGTTGCAATCTGATCTGGATGTGGTAAAATCCACTTGTAATGCATGTTGCAATCTGACCTGGATGTGTTTTTTGTGATTTTGTTGTAAGATATAAAAATGGTATATGGTTGCGCTGGTACTCGTAATTGTAAAGTGTGAAGTTGTTGGAGAATAAGATCTTATATCAGTCATATGACAAAGCAATATACAATTAATATATGAGAGTTTTCACCTTTAATATCATCAAGACCTTTTATGATAAAACCCAATACCTACTAATAGGTGGTTAAGTTTGGACAATATCAGTGATATTGGTGATGGACCATGCTGAGCCTAAAAAGTTTATCATGTATTAAAGCAGGCTATTCTTTCGACACTTCCTAGTCTGATTTATTGGACTCGAATTTGCCTCCTTAAGTTGGCTTTATAAAAGTTGCGCTAGCTCCAGCTTAGCTGCTTAAGATATTAAATGACTAGGCCTTCAAAAAGTTGCATTGACTCTAGTCCCTAAATGATGACTAAGCTCTCAAAAAGTTGTGTCAGCTTCGGTATAATGACTTGACCAGTTCTAGATGTGCGAATTGGTTTCCCTTGTGACCTCGTGTGAGACCGCTCATGAGGAGGCCGACGTGTTGAAGAATAGGATCCAACATTAGTTATGACAAAATAATATACGACTAATATATGAGAGTTTTCACCCTTAATATCATCAAGACATTTAGTGATAAAACTCAACACCTAGTAATAAGTGGTTAAGTTGAAACAATATCGACGATATTTGTAATGGACCGTGATGGTGTGGTAATTTTTTACACGATACGAGATTAGTGTAAACCCTAGACCATATATAACTTGTTTAATTGTGGTGGTGGAGGCATGCATTTGTGATAACGAGGGCGTGTAAAGAGGCTCCTATAATGAACTTCACAAGTCATTTCATCAAACATCTTGCTTGTCACTTTAAAGAAAATTTCAAACATTAAGGTTAACTAGCTCCAATAAAAGCATTATAACTACCATTGTTAGGTTGTCAAGATTCTTAGCACGGCACAAACCAACACGAGAACACGAGATGAGACGTAACAAGTTTAAGTTGGGGATTAGAAATTAAGAGTAAATTGTAGTAATGGTCCCTCGACTTTAATCAAATTAGAGCAATGATTCATCAACTAAAAATTCATTACTATGGTCTCTCAATTCATCAGAATATGTAGCTATAGTCATTTCATCAACGTCATCAGAATTGGTCTTTCAACTCATCGAAACCGTGTAGCTATGGTTATTTTCGTTAACTCTGTCATAATTTTATCAAAATGAGTTATGTTGGAATGACCACTTTTATAATCAAGTTCAAGTTGAGGGATCATTGCTCCAATTAGGTTAAAGTTTATGGACCATTGATACAATTTTTCTTATTTGATTTTTCATATTTGCCTCTTGATTTAGCTTTTCGTGCATGACACGTGACTTATTTTGACGAAAGTTTTAACAGAGTAGACAAAATGGACCATAATTGCACGTTTTAATGAGTTGATGGACCGATTGTAATGAATTTTTAGTTGATGGATTATTGCCCTAATTAGATTAAAATTCCTAATATGGAAGGTTTAGCAACAATTTGGGAGGGTGTTTTATCAATGTCCCTTAAAACCAAAACGCGTCCACCCTGTGTCGGGCTTCTTCATCTATTGCAAAGCAACGACTCCAGGTGGTAGGACAGTCACTATAGGCTCACGTCATGTGCATGTGATGCTGGGTCAAAAGACCCATTTATTTCCCATGCAGGACATCATTTATTTTCTTAAGTTTCTTTTCGGCAATTATCGTATATTTATTTATTTTTATGGTGTAAATTATATATTATTTTTTTTATAAAAAAAAAATTTGTTATCGTCACTTTAAAATTATTACTAAGAACTTTAAAAAAAAAATTAATGTCAAGCACTCATTCTTCATAAAAATTAAGAGAAAAAGAGGATGTAAAATGACTTATTTAGAGTGTTAATAACAGTTTTATTTTGAAATTAGAATTTCATATATAAGTTCGAAGTTTTGCTTGGTACAAAGGAGGTGAACTGGAAATTAAAGAGTTCTTCAATATTATTTGGTCTAGTGATACCTAATTTCTATTTAGTTGAAATAGATACTAAATTAAAATCTCATATCAGACAATTATTAGTAAAAAAAACAACAAGGTTCATAATATTTCGTCGTGAGAAAATTGATGTGCGAAAATCTTTACCCTATGTTTTAGTAGTTTCAGTACGGGCCTTACTTCTCACCCATGTCTGAAGGAGATTGGGCTTCTACAAGAATGTGCCCAAATTAAGAAAACTGAATAATTTTACACATACGGCGTCGTTTACGCTTTCTTGCTCATCCGAATTACCGTTATTCTTCTGGGACGGCCGTACAACCCGACCCGATTACCTGAGAAAAGGAGGAAGACGAATTTCAGGGTAAGAGAGAGAGAGAGAGAGAGAGAGAGAGAGAGAGAGAGAGAGAAAGGTATTGTCTTTCTGAGTTTTTGGCGCCAAGTATTCGGCTTTTGGCCGCCGATCTCAGCTCGAGAAATCAGCGCCGTCCGATCCGGCGAGCTCGTTAAATTTGCTGAAAAAACCGAAAAGAGCTTCTCGAAATGTACCAGTGGAGGAAATTCGAGTTCTTCGAGGAGAAATTGGCGGGAAAGTGCGCGATTCCCGAGGAGGTGGAAGGGAAGATCGAGTGTTGCTCGAGCGGCAGAGGGAAGGTGGTGATCGGCTGCGACGACGGCACCATCAGCTTCCTGGACCGCGGCCTCAACTTCAGCTACGGATTCCAAGCTCACTCCTCCTCCGCGCTCTTCCTTCAGCAGCTCAAGGTCAGCCTCCTCTCGCAACATTTTGTCTGGATTTGGTCATTTTTCTGTTTGTTTCTCGGGAAAATGTGACAAACGGAAAAACAGGAAAAGAGAAAATTGGAATTTTGTTGAACTTTTGCTGTTTAATTTTAGGATTAGTTTTTAATTTGTTTAGAGAGTGATTAGGAGGTGAAAAGTGTGTTAATTTTGCTCTTGTTGTTGTGAAATCAGCAACGCAACTATTTGGTGACAATTGGAGAAGATGAACAAATTACTCCGCAGCAATCGGCAATGTGCCTCAAGGTTTTCGACCTGGATAGAATGCAGTCCGAGGGCACGAGCTCAAGCACAACGAGCCCTGATTGCATTGGAATCTTGCGGATATTCACCAACCAATTTCCTGAAGCAAAGGTAGTATTTCTGCCCATTGGAATTTGTGAACCCCCGAATTTGATAGAGACAATAGGGTTTTGAATCGAGTCATTGTTTATTACTGCAGATTACATCATTTTTGGTACTAGAGGAGGCACCTCCGATACTGCTTATAGCTATTGGCTTGGATAATGGTTCGATTTACTGCATTAAAGGGGATATTGCTCGAGAACGAATCACCCGGTTTAAGCTTCAGGTGGAAATCCATTCTGACAAGAGCCAGTCCTCAATTACGGGACTGGGGTTCAGAGTGGACGGTCAAGCTCTTCAGTTGTTTGCTGTAACTCCTTCCTCTGTGAGCTTGTTCATCTTGCAGAATCAACCCTCAAACACAAGGCGGCAGACCCTAGATCAGATTGGAAGTAATATGAACAGTGTTGCAATGAGTGATCGCTTGGTACGCAATTCTACTTCCTTTTCCGTTGGTGTATGTTTTTGTATGCCTTAGCATTTTATTTATTTACTTATTGTGACAGGAGTTGATAATTGGTCGACCTGAGGCCGTGTATTTTTATGAAGTTGATGGGCGTGGACCATGTTGGGCTTTTGAAGGAGAAAAGAAATTTTTAGGGTGGTTTCGTGGATACCTTCTTTGTGTTATTGCAGATCAAAGAAATAACAGCAACACTTTCAACATTTATGACTTGAAGAACCGTTTAATCGCTCACAGCCTAGCGGTCAAAGAGGTTTCTCACATGCTTTGTGAATGGGGTAACATAATACTTATCATGGCTGACAAATCAGCTTTGTGCATTGGGGAGAAGGATATGGAGAGCAAGTTAGATATGCTCTTTAAGAAGAATCTTTATACTGTTGCCATCAACCTTGTTCAAAGTCAGCAAGCGGATGCTGCCGCAACTGCAGAAGTGCTGAGAAAGTATGGGGATCATCTATATAGCAAGCAAGATTATGATGAGGCAATGGCACAGTATATCCATACCATTGGTCACCTCGAGCCTTCTTATGTGATACAGAAGTTTCTAGATGCACAACGAATCTACAACCTTACAAATTACTTGGAAAAATTGCATGAGAAGGGGCTTGCTTCCAAAGATCATACCACTCTTCTACTGAATTGCTATACGAAATTGAAAGATGTTGACAAACTAAATGTGTTCATTAAAAGTGAGGATGGTGTTGGGGAACATAAATTTGATGTGGAGACTGCAATAAGAGTCTGCCGTGCCACCAACTACCATGAGCATGCAATGTATGTTGCTAAAAAGGCTGGGAAGCACGAATGGTACTTAAAGATCTTACTTGAAGATCTTGGCCGATATGAGGAAGCTTTGCAATATATTTCAAGCCTTGAACCAAGCCAAGCTGGAGTGACAGTGAAAGAGTATGGTAAGATTCTTATAGAGCACAAGCCTGTGGAAACAATTGAGATACTCATGAGGCTGTGCACTGAGGATGGTGAATCATCCAAGAGAGGAGCCGCTAATGGTTCATACCTGACAATGTTGCCATCTCCGGTTGATTTTCTCAACATCTTCACCCATCATCTTCCCTGGCTTATGGATTTTCTTGAAAAATATACCGACAAGGTCAAGGACTCTCCTGCACAAGTAGAAATCCATAACACGCTCTTGGAGTTGTACTTGTCCACTGACTTGAGCTTCCCATCAATATCACAAGCTAGCAATGGTGAAGATCTTAATCTCAGGGCTAGATCAGGTGCAGCTGCAACATCAAGAAGCCAGTCCAATGGGAAATTGATTGCTGATACCAAAGATTCAAACAAGGAAAAGGACCGTTTTGAAAAGCAACAGAAAGGGCTACGACTTCTTAAGAGTGCATGGCCATCTGACCTGGAATTTCCGCTTTATGATGTTGACCTTGCCGTAATTCTTTGTGAAATGAATGCATTTAAGGAAGGCCTGTTGTATCTCTATGAAAAATTGAAACTGTATAAAGAGGTGATTGCTTGCTACATGCAAGCTCATGACCATGAGGGTTTGATTGATTGCTGCAAACGACTAGGGGATTCAGGGAAGGGTGGGGACCCCACTCTTTGGGCAGATCTGCTAAAATATTTTGGTGAACTTGGAGAAGATTGCTCCAAAGAAGTGAAGGAAGTTTTGACATATATAGAAAGGGATGACATATTGCCTCCTATTATTGTTCTTCAAACTTTGTCCAGAAATCCATGTCTCACACTCTCTGTCATTAAGGATTACATTGCCAGAAAGCTTGAACAAGAATCAAAGCTGATCGAAGAGGACCGTCGAGCAATTGAAAAGTATCAGGTTAGTCCTTACTGCAGCTGTCATTGTGAATTTATGTATTGTACCTCTTTTGTTCATTTCGCTTCCTTCCAGTAAAAGTTGGTTAACATTTTATGTTTCTTATTTATGTGTTCCTTGGAAACTTTTGTAATGGCACGAATGACGAGTGTAATCTTGTCAAAGCAGTGTATCAGATAATGTTGCATGGGATTCTAGTTAGGTCTGAAACTGCACAGAAAAAAGGGAAAATGCTCTAGTAATTTAAATAGCTATGACATGTGCATCGCAAATCTAGGGATAGTAGGACTTGATCTTTCAACGTTCTTGTAACCAATGTTCTTTGTAGGAAATTGGCATAGTATTTAGCGAGTAAAAAACTAATCTGAGGAAATTTAAAATAGAAAATAAGGTTTAAACAACGGAAATTACCAAACATGTTTGGTATGAAAATAGTTCTTTACATGTTAACCCAGAAAGTGAAGCTGAGTCTTTGTCACGAAAGATACATTCAGATACATGATGGTGCTCTTCATGATTTCTGATAAGAATATTACTTTGTGTGTGGGTTAATAAATAAAATCTGAATCTTTGTCAATAAATAAAATCTGCCGAACAAAATTATACTTCATGCCCTTTTAGGTTTCAATCCAAACAATGTGTGGTTGTGTGCGTGTGAGAGAGGTTATCTAATGAATCCTTTCATTGTTCAGGAAACCACATCTGCAATGAGAAACGAAATTCAGGATCTTAGGACAAATGCCAGAATCTTTCAGCTCAGCAAGTGCACTGCATGCACTTTCACCCTCGATCTCCCAGCTGTGCATTTTATGTGTATCCACTCGTTCCATCAGCGTTGCCTCGGGGATAATGAGAAGGAGTGTCCTGTATGTGCTCCTGAATACAAATCTGTTCTCGAAACAAAAAGAAGTCTAGAGCAGAACTCCAAAGATCAGGATCGGTTCTTCCAGCAAGTTAAAAGTTCAAAGGATGGTTTTTCTGTGATTGCCGAGTATTTTGGGAAGGGGGTGATCAGCAAAACCACTAATGGACCCACAGGTGCTTCTTGATCGGCAGCAGTTCTTCAAGCTGTGACTTATGAGGGCTGGGAACTATAGAAACATGGGATGGAGCTGAGCAACTTTGGTTTTTCTTCAATCGGCATTTTTCGACTGGGATTGCTGCTGCTGTTTTGTTTCCTAAAATTTTCTAGTTAGTGATATTTTTTGCAGATCAAAATGGTATATCCTGAAACAATTTTGTGGATCTGCATTAACTCCAAAAAGAAACCGAAATTTGTGAGTAGATGGCATTGTTCTTTGATATTTTATTTCTAAGTCGGGAGTAAATGGCATTGTGATTATGGAAAGGCTAGTGACCCTAGTTCTCCTCGATCTGTTTGGAGCAAAGACGAGTCCCCGAATTGCTATCTTTGTAGAATGACCATATTAGGTTCTGTTTGACGATCATTTCATTTTTAACCTTTAGTTTTCATTTTTGGGTTCTGATAACCATTTCGTTTTTAACCCTATACATGCATGCTCAGAGAATTGAGATTCTCAAATCTAAAGATGGCAAGTACAAAATTAACAGTGCACATATTCACCTCCCGATCGGTCACCTTGTTATAGGCTAAAGGCTCGGGCGCCATATACTCAGGGCGTACTTATAGTCGAATGTGTTAATGAAATGGTTCTAACCCAGTATTGCTGCAAACCCCAGATCACCAAATTTCTCCTACAAATGACATGCGTAATGGTTCAGGTCTAGAGTCTTACTAGATGTTCATGAATTGGGAATTCGGATTTGCATTCCTATGAATCTTCTTCACAGCCCAAAACGTCGTCTTGTTGGATCAACCTCCTCCACAAATGGCTGAGCATCCCGATCAGGTGTGTTTGAATTCTCAACCGGCACCTTCAAAGGTCACTCTGATGAGGAACATACCAGTAACAGCTTGAAACAACTGTGTGGTGTGTGCCCTGCCCTCCATATGGGGACTCCCAACCATAACACAATTCACCTTAAGGAAAACTAATGAAAATGGCTTGAAAACTTTGAGTTTTAATGATAAGGACAAAATAAAGGGTAAAGTGAATAGTACCAGGTTTGACATTTTAGTGTAAAAATGTGGTTTTTCGTTAAAGTGAACAGTATCGTGGGCTTTTCGTTAAAACTCCCTTCACCCTAATGATCCGATTCCGAATTCTCCAATGCGCTCAATGTTAGAACTAATTAACAAAACTGAACATCGGATAAAGAAAGATCCGGGTGAAGAATTTCAAATGGCAGGATGAGGGTTCACCGAGAAAATGAACATCTGAACATAACAAAACTACAGAACCACGGTTTCAAATTCATAGTTTTCTTGTCTCGCTGCACAAACACAATCATGCATGCAGAACACAAAAGGCACAACTCGACCAAACAGCTAAACAAAATTGAAAAACATATCTGATAACTACAAAAATTTTGCTGACTTAGGAGGTGGAAGCTTCCCCAGCAGCCCCCGTGGTGCGTGCAAGAATGGAAACCGTTTCTAGTCCAAATAATCCAAGTTGAGGAGCGGGACTTGGAGCTGGGCTGTCTGGGTTGCCTGAGATGTGGTCGATAAGCGGAGCAATGGATCCCTTGGCTCCAATGTCGGCATCGGGAGGCAGAATAATCTGATGACCTCCACCAGTAAGCAGCGCAGGGGCCACGATACCCTTCTTGATCTTCTCCAAATTGCCGTCATGGCATGTAATGGCAACGATGGAGTAGAGTTGGAGCTATAAGACAGAGAAGAGAAGCAATATCAATAAAACAATTAAGAACTATAAACTAACATTAATAATAATTATTATCAGTTCAAACATAATAATTATAACTGAAATTGAAATTAATTAAGTGTTCAATATACCAGATCATTGAACGATCTTGAATGTATTAGCCTTGGATCGATTCCAAGGGCCTTAGAGTTCAGAAGCTTATATTCAACCATCTCATAACCACCCTCCTCTTGTATATTCTTAAAAAAGATAAAGGTTCTTGCAGTCCCGATACGAACCTCTTCACCATTGTGAAGATGGTTAATACTCTTCTCACTAGAAAACCGCCAAAAGCTCCCCCGAACAGTGAACCTCAGGGAAGAATCAGCCTCTTCATCCACGAATGGAACAAAAAAGAACGCTTTGTTCTTTTCCGATCCAAAAGAGAAGTTTTCTGATTAAATAACGGTTAAAATACAATAAATATATATATGCATACATACAAGATTTCAAATTATAAAGAAGCTAACTGTATACAACAAAAAATAGAACAAATTACCCGGCGGTATAAAAGTGGGATCCGGAAAATTCTTCTTCCCGGAGACAAGGTGTTTGATCATCTCTACCGTTGGAAGTGGCTTTCCGATGAGCTTGTTGAACAAATAGTAAATCAGGAGAGAGTCAGGCTTGGGTTCAAATTCTAAACCCCACATTTCGAGATCAGCAGCAGTGTAGGACTCCTGGACACTCAAGGCCTTCTCGAGCATGTTGAAATCTGATGATACTGCCATTAAAACCTATAAAACATCCCTCGTATTTAAACCCTTGGTCGATTCGTTGAACATTATAAAGAACCCCATATTTACCCAAATTCAACACGGTTGGAAGTATAAAAACTAATTCAAACTTGACCTGCACAAATTCATCAGAATTCAACCATATTTACCCAAAACAAATGCAGTCTGAAAAACCGAATCTGAAAATAAGAAAAGATAAAAGGGCACTGAGTTCTTCTTAACCGAGGAAAAAGCAAATGAAAGGGTATTCCTCTCAAGATTTGAATTTCGTGCATGACGAATTCTATAACAAATTAGATTTTTCATTATATTAGTTAGTGTAACTCCCATCTACTTTTAGTGTAAAATATATCGTTGTTGGTTTAAAATGACAATAATTAAAGATGGGGAAAGATGGAGATACCTCCTTTTCTTTTCCTTTTTCGATTTACACGATTCAGGATTTGTTCTTCAGCAAGTTAAAAGTTCAAAGGATGGGGTTTCTGTGATCGCCGAGTATTTCGGGAAGGGAGTGATCCGCAAAACCACCAATGGACCACATGTGCTTCTTGATCAGCAGCAGTTCTTCCATCTGTGACTTATGAGGGCTTGGAACTATAGAAAAATGGGATGGAACTGAGCAACTTTGGATGAGGCATATTTTCGACTGGGCAGGGGTTGCCGCTGTTGATTTGTTTCCCAAAGTTCGAAGTAAGTCATGTATATATTTTGCAGATCAAAATGACATATCCAGCAGAATCAATTTTATGGATTTGCATTAACTTGAAAATTTGAATCTAACAGAGGACATGACACAAAACCGAGCGCAATGACGTTCTAAGATTCATACAGCCGACCCTACTTAGTGGGAAAAGGCTTTGTTGTTGTTGTTGTTGCATTAACTTGAAAAATAAACAGAAATTTCTTATTTCTAAATGGACACTGTGTTTGGATAAGGAAAATAAACTTGAAATTTGAATAAAAGTCAGAATTTATGAATTGATATGCATCAATTTCCTTTTTTGGTTTCATAAGCATAAAAATTTAGAATTTTTGCGTAGAAAAAAACTAGGAATTTGAGACATCCAATCCCTAAGTTTAAACTTCATGTAAATTGACACACCCCGTCCCGAAGGAAGGCATGCTGGCCGTCACGTGAGAGTGACGTAACCATTTACTGGAAGCTTTAAAAATACAATTACTAAGATGAAACACCTAAGGGTGAGTCCTACTTTTGTGAATTCTGTCAGAACACCGTTGGATTCCTCGTGACCACCAAAGCTCTGCTATATAGAACCTGGAGGGGCGCAAAACAAAATTGAGTGGGTCAGTAAAACAAAGTTTTTCGAAAACCTTTCAGTTAATAACATTTCTAACCCCTCATTGTAAAACCTGTATACTTTCCCAGAAAAAAATAGTATATAATATGCATATAAATATTCAAATATCTCAATTCACAAATCTTTATCAAACCAGAAAGTATGTCATGCTATAAGCGTCAACAACAGAATAAAGATGCATCAATATAACAGGTGAAATGATGAATTAACCGAAGACCCTGCAGTTGGTCCTGTACAGTTAATTCCATAGCTCAACATCCAATCCAACCGGAGTCACCTCGGTGACCTGTACGGCACTACACTGCAGATAAGTCGGAACTACCTGAAGTAGTCTGTACGACATGAATGGTGTAATAATACGCTCTAGTGCTTCTCTCATCAATCATCTGTGTACACAATCTAAGGTCACCTATCAGTCGGAACCCTCTCATGGTTTGTACGACATGTCGGAACCCTCTCATGGTCTGTACGACATGCACCTACTTGGATTCAAGGTGAGCGTGCGGTGCGAGGTGAATAATATAAGCACTAACACCATGATTGCAGGTTATGAGCTATCAACATAATATACATCATCAATGATTCACATGAATAACATAAAACTCACCTGATACTTACCTGTGCGTCCACAACACCAATTCACATATATATATGCATCAATTATCAATTCGTATAACTCATATCATTCATATTATGCATGCATGGCATTTTAGAAACATATTTCCATTAAACTCAATTTCTGGGAATTTCAATAGCATATAGGTATAAACAGAAAATACTGCCCACTCACCTGGAGTTCGCCCTACAACTCCCTAGTACAATACGTCAAGGCGTCATGACGATCGGCGCCTAAAACAATAATCAAATCCAATCTCAGAAATCATATCGATAGAATATATAACTTATATAAAACACGTCACTACGCAGTTCGATCCGGAAGATCTGCAACACAAATTTCAAATCCATAACTTCCAGAGGTCCACAATATACCTCTAGGACAACTTCCTAAAATTTCATTACCATCCAACGGTCGGATCTCCGTCAATTTTCAAAACTACTAAGTGACGGTTAACATTCTATTTTATGAACTTACAACTCAAATTCCGGAAATCCGTAACTCGGATTCCCAATCCGTAAGTTCCTATAATCCTCAAATATTACGTATTACAACGTATCAAAGTTTGGTGACGATCCAACGGTCGGATCGTCAATTCACGTTTTCACCTAACCACGAATCGTAACTGTGGAGCCAAAAATATTCACTAGACGACACGTGGATTTTTGGACAAAATAGGACAAAAATACCCTCGAGGCATACCGGGTCTCCTACACGCGAGCAGTGGAGAATCATCCATCAACCAAGTCAGGAGTACCCAAAATGGGTAACAATTCAAAACCTATTTCATATATGTTTTTACCTCATTTTTTCCTTATTCAATTAGCCATTTATTTCAAACATTCCATAACATCCTCAACCAATTAATATAATCAATATATTAAAGGCTATTTATATCACAAAATCACCCCAAAATCACACCAAGGTCCGGTCATTCCCATCCAAAAAGAGCCTATCATATTCTCTACCTTTTCCACCATTTTCCCTTTTTAATTACCCTAATTAACTAGCCAATTAATTCCAAAAACCACCAAAACATTCATTTTATGTTTAAATAGCCAAATAAATTGGCTAATTAAACCTAAAAACCCTAGCCACCTCCTAACTCTATAAATAGGCACCTATTCTCATCAAAGAATCAATTCCAACACTTTGGCAAAAATCCCAAAATTCTCTAAACACTCTTTCTCTCTAAATTCTAACTTTGGCATCGGAGGTTCTTCGGCCAAAGCCCCCCCATTCATCGTGGGCGCGTGAGGCTCTTGGCCTTAACCTAAGGTGTTAATTGTTTTGTAGGTGCAAAATCGTCCAAGATCGAGGAGGAAGAAATTTGCATCCACAAATTGGTGCTTTCATTGAGAGTTGAAATCCATACTCGTAGAAGACTCTCGCACAAAAAGGTTTTTTCTTTATTTTCTAGTCCATTTGAATATTTTTCATACGTTCTTATTATTAGAATTTTTTACTTGCAAAGGTTCTTTGATAAAACGTATAAGCAAAATATAATGGCTAGAAATTTAGAAAACTCCACAAGTGAAAAGTCTAATGTTCAAGAAATGGGATTGCGGAGATCCGTGAGGCTTAATGCGACAATAAGGGGAGCAGCATCATCATCACGAGCTTCCACCATGGGAACCACCATGGTGGCTACCTCGGTAGCCACCCGCGGCGAGGTCCATGGTGCCTTCACCACGGCCACCATGGGAACCACCGCGGTGGCTACTTCGGTAGCCACTCGTGGCGAGGTCCATGGAGCCTTCACCACGGCCCGGAGATCCGTGAGGCAAAATGCAACAATAAGGGGAGCGGTATCACCACCACGAGTTTCCACCATGGGAACCACCGCGGTGGCTACCTTGGTAGCCACCCACGGCGAGGTCCATGGTGCCTTCACCACGGCCACCATGGGAACCACCGCGGTGGCTACTTCGGTAGCCACTCGTGGCGAGGTCCATGGAGCCTTCACCACGGCCCGAGCCGTGCCATCCAAGGCTCACGGTACTAAGACCACGATCCAAGCCGTGCCATCCAAGTTTACGTGGACCCAAGCCCAAGCCTCGCATTCACATGCACCGCGCATTGAGCAGCCTGCTTCCGTGATCCAGCCTGCTCCCGTCAAGCAACCCACTCTCACGGCCCAACCTGCTCCTGCCGAGCAGCTTGCTCTCGTGACCCAGCCTGTTTTTGTCGAGTAGCCCACTCCGGTGACCCAGCCGGCTCCTGCCAAGCAGCCCACTCCCGTGGCCCAACCGGCTCCTGCCAAGCAGCCTGCTCTCGTGACCCAACCTGCTCCCGACGAGCAACCCACTCCCGTGGCCCAGCCTGCTTTCGTCGAGCAGCCCACTCCGGTGGCCCAGCCTGCTCCTGCCAAGCAGCCTGCTCATGACCCAGCCTGCTCCCGACGAGCAACCCACTCCCGTGGTCCAGCCTGCTTCTTTCGAGCAGCCCACTCTCACGGCCTAGCCTGCTCCCGTGGCTTTCCAAGCAGCCCAAGTCGGCCCAAGACTATCTCAACCATCCGGACCTACCATCGAGCCGGGGGCATTCTCACCATATTTTTTCGCGGATTTGACATTTCCCAACTCAAATCTCGCGCCCGGAGTCTACCACCTTTCCACTGCCCAATGAGGCGCATTCCTTCCAAGCTCTTCCAATCCAAATGGCGAATAACACTTGTCTCAACAAGTCATAGACTTGACGAGCGCCCTTGCACAACAGAAAACCTTGGTGAATCAACTTTTGCAACGTATTGGGATCCAACGTGCCCCGGACGAGGTATCCCGAAGTAGGACAAGGGCAGACAAACATTTCCAGCAGCGTCCCGGTAAGCAGCCACTCGACCAGCCACGAGCCGAACGTTTGGGCAGTGTACATTCCCGTCTTAGAGCGCGAGGGAGCATGCACTCTCGACTAGGCCCACGGACGAGCATACATTCACGGTTGGGGTCATACTCCGATAGTTAACATGAGCAACCTTCCGGGCAAAATGTCTATTCGCAGCTAAGCCCACAAGGAGCGTCTTCCACCTCACATCAGAGTAGGCAGCACGACGGACGGAGAGAAGCAGTCACTCAATCCAGCTCAAGTTCAACCAGCAGCCTGCGAAGAACTCGCTCGCCTACTAGGAACGCACCACATGCACGGCATCCGCGACATAGACAAGCCAAACACATGGAAGAGCAGCCTAGACCAGCAAGTCATGACTGGGGGCAGCCGAGAGCTCTGCTACCCCAACAAAGGCAAATTCAGGAAGAAGTAGAGAGACTCTTGACCAAGCGATTGCATGATTTCCAACGCAACGAGGTTACCGACGAGGCACTACGATGGAACATAATCAACATAAGCAGGTCACCCTTCACGGATGAGATCGAGGAGGCAGAGCCTCCACGCGAGTTCAGCATGCCACATTTCACATCTTTCAAAGGGGATGAAGACCCGGAGAGACACTTAAAACGTTACCAAAGCGCAATGATCCTTTATCGAAACAACGATGATCTCATGTGCAAGATATTCGCCACCACTCTACAAGGCGAGGCGCAAGATTGGTTCTACACCCTGCCGCCACAATCCATCCGGAATTTCTACGAACTTTCTTTGGTTTTCACCAAAGAATATTCATCCTATCGCTCGATCAAAAAGAAGTCTGACCATTTGTTCGACGTCAAGAAGAACCCAAAGGAGTCGCTTTGCGACTATGTGAGGAGGTTCAAAATAGAGAAGGCAAAAATAGTCAGATGCAACGACTCGATAGCTAGAGCAGCCTTCCAAA